AGCATCCATCACTCTAGCAGGCTCCCAGGTAAGTATTCATCACTCTAGCAGGCTCCCAGGTAAGTATCCATCACTCTAGTGGTCTCCCAGGTAAGCATCCAGTGCTTTAGCAAGCTCCCAGGAAGCATCCAGCACCCTAGTGGGCTCGGGCTCCCAGGTAAGCATCCAGTGCTCTAGTGGGCTCCCAGATACAGTGCTGATGGTCCTGGGACACCCCAGCATCAGGGCCCTAGGCCATGCCAGTCAAGCTCTAGCATCAATCCAGTGCATCACTCAGTGCTTAGGAGCTGCACCTGACTGTCAGGTGGGGCCCTCACTTCTCCCTGAGCCTCTCAGAGCCTCTCTGTGGTTATCCCTCCTGCCCAGGATAACATCGCTTGCAGTTGACCAAAGTGCCCAGGCCCTTCCAGCCACTACTCTGTGTTTGTGTATGTGGCTGCTCACCTGGTGTTTGTGTCAGCCTGTCTGCTGCTGCCTAGCATGCTTTCCCACCCTCCTCTTCCCTCCAGGGGGCTGCTGCCCTCACTCTGTGGGAGTTCCCTTCTCTATGCCCACAGATGGTTAAGTGCCCTGCAGCTGTTCCTCCTCCAGGCAAAGCAGTGGCAGAGCAATTTGTGGCCCTTTCCCCACAGATACTGAATGCCAGGTATCCCTGCCTCAGTGGGTGCTCGGCCTTGACCCAGTCCAGCTACCTCACCTAAACCAGCTCAGTGCACTAACAGCACTTTGGCCTCTGCAACAAAGGAAGCTGCAATTTGCGGACAGAGTAGTATCACAGCTTGTGCTATATTCAATATTGGGAAGCTGCTGGGAGCCAGGAAAGGAAGGGAGCAGAGCGGGAGAGGTGGGCAGGAGACATTAAAATGGTGGTTCTGTCTCATTAAGAAATCCATTCAGACTTTATTTTTGGAAGAAGTTTCTACCCCTTTCTCCGTTTTAATTGGAGCCTCTGATTCTCTCCTCCAGAGCAGACGGTAACCACCAGGAAGCAGGGCCTTGCTCTCAATGCTCCCCCGGATCCTCAGCCAATCCCAGCAAATCTGCTCAGATGTCTCCTGGGATTCCTGGGGCTCTTGGAAATGAGTGGGGTAGGTGGGTCATGGGCACAACCTTCCTGGCCAGCAGGGAAGGCTTTGGTTAGAGGCAGGGCTGCTGCCCCAGGTGGCTGTGGGGTCTGGGCTTTGGGTCAGAAGCACAGTCAAGGCTCAGATCTGGGTTTATCTGATTCTAGACTCCATGCTCTGAATTTCCAAGCTTTGCTGCCTCCTGGGGCAGCTGTTTCTACTAGGATCTTGACAAAGGAAATCCACAAGTTCCTTGGGCAAATGCTTGGCCTCACGTTATATAGCTTGGGTCACAGTTGTATTTGAACTTAGACTGGAGGCAAAATGTGGCTTCAGAACCATGAGGAATGCATTCTGCTTTCCTCTCCTCCCTACCCCTAGTCCCTGGCATGTGGAACTGTTCTGCAAAGCATTAATCCTCCAGGCTTGGAGAACAGAGGAAGCCACTTGGGTCAGCTAGAGACTGTGGGTAAGGGCCACAACCCTACAACTGCTATTGTGGGAATGACATCAATGCTGTTCAGGGGCATCTGAGCCACTGGTCTGTAAGCCCAGATGCCTGGTTCAGGGAAGAAGAGGAAGTCTGGGGTCATAGGCACGGGGATGCACCTGGGTGGGCCTGAGCAGCAGATACATCCGGAAAGGGGGCTCTTCAGTATTTCCAGCACATCTCCTCTGCTGGGCAGGGGTGCTCAGGACCAAGCTCACTTGGCAGACCCGTGGGGGCAGCAGTGAAGGTGCCTTACCAGGGTTTTGTAGTCGATCTGCTGGCGGATGAGTTTGTCCTCACTTAGGGAGTAGCGGGCCTCTCCTGTGATGGCATCGATGGGGCCTTTCTCCATCTGCTGCTTGATGGCACAGAACAGGGAGAAGAGAGGCTCCCCAGCGCACTCCTAGATAAGAGAAGAACCATGCTGGGCAGAGCTCTGGGACTACCAATGTGCAGAGGCCACGACCCAGTCCTGCCCTCTCCAAAGGGCTGTTTCCACTGCTCCTGCCGGATTCCTCCCCCTGCCCTAGCACTCAGCTCTTCAATCCCCTCTGCTCCAGCTCTTTGCCCTTCAGGAGTTCATTTCTCCTGGCTCTTTGGACCACAGGACCTTCCCCCATTCTGCCCTTTCCTACCACTCTTGAAGAGCTTTCTCTTCCCTTCCCTCCATCTCCTGTCCCCTTCTCTGTTCACTCTCCCCACCCTAGCAACAACCAGAGGCTCCATCCAAAGCAGAGGCGGGTCCTCCATAGTGTGAACTCCTTAGAAACCAGGTTAGTAACTGAAGCTGCACCACTCTTCCACCTCCCAGGCACCTGGTTGGCTTATCTGCTGCACCATGGGGCTCTGTACCCGCCTGAGACTCTTATCAGCCTCAGTAGGTCTGGAGCCAGGACGGGAAGTGACAAAATAATAGGCAGATTGTGTTCAGCCTCATCTGGGAACTTAGCTCTAGGGATCACATGGCTGCCTAGAGGTTCATCTGTCCCTTGCTGGGGGAAAATCCATCCTCAAGGGTTTTGCATCTCTGAGGCTGGACTGACCGTGCTGCTCTATCTCCTGAGACAGGCCATGATGAGGGCTTGTGGGGTTCTAAGAGTCAGGTGAGGGGGACTCGGGGAGGGGGAGTGACCCCCAGCAGGTGAGGATGAAGCAGTTTCATGCCCAGGAGGGTGGAGTACCCGAGGCAGAGGTAGAGACATGGCCACATCCAATCCTACCTTGAGGAACTTGTAGAGGAGGAAAGTGAACCAATTGGTCAGCATCTTCTCAGCCACCGACTCAGTCCTGCACCAGTCACCGGGGGAACCAGCAGGACAAGACAGAGAAAGAAGCAGCAGGTCAGAGCCCAGGGCTGGGAGGGGCGGGGAAGTGTACGCGTTGATCTGGCTGCTTATGGCTTTTAGGCCAAATCTGGAGATCTTAGTGAACATGAGAACTGCAAGGACTTCTAGATACCCCGGTAATAATAAGGCAAGCTTTCCCCACAAAGCTGTAGGACAACATTTTGGGCATGAGGCCCGCGAATGGGTTTCTGTGGGAATGCAGAGCCCCGCTGTCCAACAGCACATTCTATGATGATGAAAATTTTCTCTGTGGGCTCAGCACCTGTAGCTCAGTGTCTAGGGTACCAGCCACATACACCTGCGCTGGTGGGTTTGAACCCAGCCTGGGCCTGCCAAACAACAATGACAACTACACACCCCCCACACACCAAAAATAGCCGGGCATTGTGGTGGGTGCCTGTAGTCCCAGCTACTTGGGAGGCTGAGGCAAGAGAATTGATTAAACCCCAGAGTTAGAGGGCAGCACAATGATACTCTGTTTCAAAAAAGAAAAAAAATTTTTTTCTCTGTGTTTTCCAGCATGGGAGCCACCAGCCAGCCACATGTGGCCACTGAGCACCCAAGATGTGACTAGTATGTCAGAGGAACTGAAGTTTTCCATTTTATTTGTTTTTAATTAACTTAGATATAAATTGTCACAAGTAGCTTTTGCCAATCCTTGGGTAGTATATAGCTTTAGAGAACTTTCTAGGCTAGACTGTGAGAAAAGAAACATAAAAATTCCTGGAGAGATACTAACTTGGTCGGGGCTAGGAAGAAAGGTGGCAGGAGAAGAGGGTCATGATCAAAGGGCCAGAAGGTGAGACCACCGGCAGCCTATAGACTCCCAATGCTGGCAACAGCATGCAGATGTAAACATTGTCCTACTGCAAAGGATTTCAGATGCTTTGAAACTTCCCCTGGGAACCCTTCTGATGTTTCATTTGCAAAGACAGGAAGTTCCTTCTTGAGTCTAAACTTGCATTTTTCATCTCTAACCCAAGCCCATCTATTCTTTCCCTTTGGAAGTGAAGATACAGCAGCAGTATTGGTAGCCCAGGGACACTTCTAATGTATCCATTTAGAGAAAACAAATTATACTCAAACTTGTACTAAGCATGCGGTCAGCTCCAGAGAGAAACTAGCCCATCCAGGTATGTTTGGATAGAGTTTAAGGTTGCAGTTGCCAGAAAATACTAATAACTAAAGCCCCAAGGCAGTTGGGCAGCTGCCAGTACTAAGTGAAGCCGCAGAGAGAAAAGGAGGAGGAATGTTGAAGGGAGCGGGGCAGCCAGGGGAAATAGAGAGAAAGCAAAGGAAGCGAGAGCGTCTGGGAGGGCAGGGACAGGCAGTAAGAGGAGGAGACGCAGAGCAGAGTGAGACCACGCCGGGAAGTTGTCGGTGGGAGCTCTGGCAGCCAGTGGCAACCCTAGAATTATGCTGGCGGGTGGCTGCGTGGTGAAAGTAAAACAAAAATCAAAATGATCTACCTTGCTGTTTCCAAAGCTGTCTGGAGGCTCCTGTGTGCAGCAGCATTTTTAGCTGTGTAGGCAAATGCACCAGGAAAAAAGCCCGAAAGCCACATCTAGTGACTGGGTCACATGGGAGGCCCTGAGGCCCTGCCTGAGAGCCAGAGGCCAAGGGTGAAAGTCAGGGGACAGGCAGAGAGAGGCAGACAGCACACAGGTGGTCTGGGTGGAAGGCTAGACATACTGAGTGAATGCAGGAGTTTGCCAACTTCAGACATGCCAAGGTTAAAGACACTGGGTAACAGTCCAGGGGAGAAATGGCCTTTGAGTACATGGGGAGCTCAAATGGGAGCATGGATGGAGTGAGTCTCTATTTCCTTTAAGGCCAAAGCCCTGGGACATGGTTACGTCTTTACACTCGACCTTTTAGGGTTCAACAGTGTCAAGCTCAAGGCTTCCTGCAGTGTCAGGCTGGCTATATTGGATAAGTTGTTACTGAAGGGCTTTCATTCCGTGGGTCTCAGACTTTAATTCTGTCACCTAGGTTCCTTGTTAAAGTGCAGATTCTGAGTCAGTGAGTCTGGGGGGCACCTGAGATTCTGCATTTCTAACAAGCTTCCTTGTGGCATGAGGCCATTGCTCTCTCTCTTAATTGTAATTCTGACTTAGATAAGGCTGGGGGGTGGTCCCAATGACCTCTGAAGATTCCAGGAGTGAGGAACTGCAGTACAATGGGAGTGGAAGGGCAGAGAGGGGAGAATGAAGAGCAGATATGGGGCAAACAGCAGGATGAGCCAGGGTGGAGGTGGTGCCCACACCTCTTGGGGACAATGGGTAGACTCCTCCAAGAGGGCGTGGGCTATAGCTGTGACCTTAGGGAGTAGGCTGCTCTCCCAGGAGCTCAGCCCTGGTCTCCCCGGAAGGCTCATGAGCCGGGCACAGGCTGGGCCCGGGCAGGGAGCACCCTGAGCCCCGCCGGCAGCCCCAGCCGCACCCTCACCTCCTGAGCAGCAGCTTGGGGTGGTTCTTGCTCTCCAGGTTCTTGTCGATGAGGTCGGCCAGCAGCTGCTTCAGCACATCGGTGGCATACTCCAGCTTGCTCTGCAGCACCGTCATGATGAGCGAGGCCACGTTGCCACGGTCGCGCATGGAGAAGCTGCGCTGGGACTCGAGTGTGCGGATGAAGGACAGCAGGAATACCTTGTTGTTGATGAGCTGGGCGAAGAGCTTCAGGCCTTTCTCCACGCGCTCCTGCCGGTAGCCCGGGACCTGCAGGCAGACCCAGGGGGTCCTGACTCCATCTGCTGGGGGCTCCAGTGGATGTGCTGCGCCTGCACCCTGACTCTCCCATGTCAACTAGGACCTGCTCCTCAAGCCAGAGCCTGCCTGGCCAGTGCCTACTGAGTCCCCAGCACCAGTGCTCAGTAGCCAATGAAACTCATCACAGCCTCCTCCAGTTTCAAGATGAGCTGACTGAGACAGAGAGAGAGCCTCACCCGGTTAATGGATGACGATACTGGGATTGGACCCCTTCTCCAGACTGCCAGGCCTGAGCTCTTCCTTGACAGTGACACAAAGCAGATGAGGGGCCCTGGGCCATGGAAGCACACCTTCACAGCCCGTGGGAACTCCTGACAGGTGGGGCCACTGTGGCTTACACCCTGTCTGCAGGATCACCAGGCCTGGGCCTCCAACTGACTGACTGGCCAGCCCACTCCTTCTCTATGCATCTTGCTGGGAGGCTGGTGGCCTCAGAGTCCAGACTTCTGTGTTTCATGTGGATTCTGACACCCCCATACTGTGCAATGTGGGGTGAGTCCCTTTCCTTCTCTGGGAAGGAAATTTATGCACCTAAGAAAGGAACAATTAAGCCCAGCAGTCTCTAAAGAACGCCCCAATTCTGGCACTGATATTTTCTTAGGCACTCTTGCTGAGACCCTGCTGAATCCAGGGGCAGGGAAGGAAGATGGTTTTATCTTCCTGTCTACATCGTCTGTTTACTGGGACATCCTCCAAATGCACACGGACCACTCAGCAAACATGGAAGAGGCAACTCTGAGATCTGCAAGGATGTGCCTAGCAGCATGGTCAGTAACAGCCTCACACTGCAAATGCCCAGATGTCTGCAAGCACAGAACGGGCGGAGGAGCTGCCTATACCCCACCTGATGGAACACGGCACGGTGGTGAGAGTGGACGGCCCCTCACTACTTGCATTAACAGGGTGAATCTTGCAAACATAGTGAATGAAAAGAATCAGATCCTAAAGACGGTATACTGTTTACAGAGCACCATTTAAATAGTTTAAAAACTGGGGGACCCCTGGAAGGCTGGAAATATTCTGCTTCCTGTCTGGAGACCAGCTTGCTGGGTGTGTTCACTTGGGGAAAATTTGCTAAGCTGGGCGCTGGCCATTTGCACAACTTTCTGTGTAAATACTTCTGTTAAGCAGTTTACTTAAAACATGTATTATAAGCTCTGCTCTCAAGGAAGAGCACTCTGAAAATACAGAGCAGGGACTGCCTTCTGGGGCAGAGTGTGGGGGAGGCAGGGAGAAGGAGGGGCCACCATGACTGGCACTGAGGTGTCCTCAGAGCTCTGTCCCCAAGGCTATCTTCCTGGAGGGGAGACACTTCACATCTTAGGGAAGGCATGCCTAATATGTAGCAGGGATGGGTGTGATTTCAGTGACGGTTAATTCTATCACAGTCATTTATTAGCAGCAGAGCCCACCCAGGACGCAGTTTTTGTTTTTGTTTTTTTTTTAACCAGCTTATAAAGGTAATAACAGCTATGGTGTATGCAGACCTTACTCAATGTAGAGGACTGTTCTGTGTGCTTTAGAAATATTGACACATTTAATGCACACATCACTGGGAAGGTAGGTCTGGTGAGGTTAAGGAGCCTATCCAAAGACCCAAGACAGAGAAGGGCCAAGCCAGGGAATGAACCTGGGCAGTCAGCACCTTGTCCTACCCTCTTCTGGGGTGACAAGCAGGCCAAAGTGTGAAAACCTACAATGCAGCAGAGAGCTAACTTCCTAAACCCAGACATTTTATCCTATTCTACTCTTAAGGTTTTAAACTGGGAAAGATGGAGGTGGCCTGCGAAAACCTTGTCTGCCCAAAGTCTCGGAAGGTGGCAGAACATTCACGTCACTCATTACTGAGTCACCTGTGTTGCAGGCTTGGGGCAAGGTGCCGGCAGGAGTCAGGAATCAAGAAGACACAGGCCTTCCCTCAGAAGGTCAACCAGGAGGCCAGCTCCTGAGTCCCAAGACCCCTCCATCCTGGGGGCTCTGTGGGCTGGTCCTTTGTTCTGCAGAGGTGAGCTCTCCTGGCTACCACCTTCCTGTGTTGGGCCTCCCACCTGCTCAGGCTGGCTGTCGAAAGGAGAGAGCTGCATGCGGGTGTGGGACTGTGGCATTCAGGGAGCTGGAAGAGGACAGGGACCAGCCAGATGGTACACCTGGTGAGAGGATGCACTCCGGGCTTCTCGCAGCAGCTGCACTTTCTCTGTGTACATGCCTCCTGGGCATCAAGTCTGGGCCTCTGGGAAGGGACATTCCCAAGCCACCTGAAGATGTTCAGCAGCATGGGTTCTAGAACTAGAGACCATATTGACCCATGGAGGAAAACGCCACCTCTAGGCTGTACTGCCTCATCTGTGAAGCGAGGCTGCGCGTGCCTGTGTCATAATGTTTTATGAGCATTAAATAAGATAATGTATGTAAAGTGCTTGGCACGCACTGTGCGCACTTAAATGGCGCAGTTTATTACCTGCCTTTCGAGCTCCATGGACTGCATTTCACACATCACTTTGGCCCACCACTTTCCCAGATAGCTAATGCCTCGGCACAGCGATTTGGGGTGCAGATGGCAGGACTTTTCTCCTCGTTTTGTGAAGGGAGGGGATGGAAGTGAAGTGTCTTGGGAAGGAGTATGCAGAACAATTCCCCTTTGTGGCCTGCCACCCTCCCCCAAAGCAAATGCCACTCTGAAACAAGACTTTCCTTATTCACCAGATGGTTCTCTAATTTAGTTGAAGTCTGTGAGTATAAAACTGGATAGTAAATTTTAATTGTAACCCAATAGGTTAGAGTTTAGGAGCCAATGATAGGTTGAAATTGGGAGTGGATGATTGACTGCTCTGTGGTTTTAAAGGACTGGGGCATGCCTTGTGTCTGGGAAGCTACTTCTCTGAATGCCCCAGTGAGGGGCCCTGCTGGCCTGCCCTCCAGGACAGTCTGAGCAAGAGGACATCTCCTTCTTCACACTTCCAAGCAGTGGGTAGGTATCCCTATCCCAGTGGCTGAAAGCGTTGGGGAACAGTGCTTGAGATTAATCAATGGCTTGTGTCCATACTCAGAACGCTGAGCACAAAGGAGAAGAAACCATTCCAGGGCCAGAGGGATTGGACACAAACAAACACGAATACAGGGATCCACATGTGGTCCCTGATCCCTGGATTTCACAGAAGAGGCCGGATCTCGCAAAGCCCCATGCCAATGTGATGCAGTAAAAGTTGTTAGAAAATCAATTTTAGAGTTATAGCCATGAAAGAGACTTAGTTAGACTTAAAACTTTGAGCTAATGAAGAAAGGAGAATAACTTTATGTACTTGCCTAGTTGAATTCTTATTTAGATTACTCGCTACCCTGTCCACAGGAGACACAGGGATGTTCAGACATGAATTCCCCACCCCGCTCCAGCATGGCCCTTCCTACCCTAATTTGACAGACACACAGACCTTCATTTATCCAATCCTTCACCATTCTCTACTTGCCGACTCTGTGACAAGCACTCTGCTCTGCTGAAGTTGGAATTGCAAAGATAAATAAGGTATGGTATCAACTCTCACACACAGTCACACCCATCATCACTTGCACACTCATACACACTCACAAACACATCTTTTCACCAGGGACTTGCATATTCCCCAGTGGCCTTAGAAACCTGGTATTTTGAATCAAACAAAAGGTGAGGCCAGAGGAGAGAGGAAAAGAAGAGTGAGTGGGATTGGGGGAAGGCCAAAGGCAAGGAGCAGGACCAAGGAAACAGTAGAGAAAAGTATCGTGACTCACATAGCGCTCTTCTCTGTGTGTGGATACACATCTACACACATGCACACGCTCGTATGTAGGCAGAGAGAAAAGAGGCACTGTCAGTGAGGGCACAGCGCCCACTGCCCGCAGCCTCAGAAAGTGTCTCTTGGTGCCTGGCAGCTGAGGGGAGCCCTGCAAACAGAAGTGCCCCTGCCCGCTATAGAGACACATGCACACAAACATGCGTCGTTCAACAAGCAGTGTGGAGAAACGTGAGGGTTGTGAACCTTGCTGAGGACCTGCTGGGTGTGCTGCAGAGGTGACAATCTGTATGTCCCCTTGGGAGAGCCCACACAGATTGCCACAGGTGTCAGTGCCTGAAAAACCACCCGACTCCTGAGAGATGGATCTGTTTTTATTTTATAGACAATGTAAATCTTGGGATCGATCTAATTGTCAGTTGTTGCCCTGGCTATACATCTGGGATCTATCCTGGTAAATATCCAGAGCCAAAAGGCAGGCCATGGATATGGCCCCCAGAAGTGTGGGGCACAGCCTTGTTCCTGGGAGCAAGGGCTCGCTAGTCTAACTGCCTGGGCTCAAATCCTCATTCCACCTCCACCAGCTGTGTGGCCCCAGGCAGTTGCCAAAATCAGTCATGCCCTTAGTTTTGTCACCTATAAAATGGGCTCACTTGCTCCACAGGGCTCTTGGGGAGGTTAAATGAATGAAAGGAGGCGACCGGATATACCGTGCAGGACATTAGTAACAAGTCAACCAATAGTGATTACTCCTGACAATTATATGGCATGATAAAATGGCTTCCTTTTCTCTCTGGTATTTATCTCTATAAGCCATTCCAAAGCACTATCAGGACAAAGTGAAATATGAATTTATACATAAGACAGCATACCAGATAGGAAGTGGGATAAAATGTTAGGAGAGGGGGTCCTTGCTGGTAGACGAGATGGTGAGTTTTGATCAGTCATCTTTCTGCCTCCTTTCCAAATACAACATTGATCTTTTCCAAGTGGTAAAATCCCTTATATGCTGAGCACCAACTAAGTGAGTAATATCCCCTATAACCTGGTTTCTTGAACAATGAGCTTTCTAAATTTATCTGCCATAGTTCTTGTTTCTGCATATATGTAGGTAGATTTCTGGAGAGAGGGTCTTCAATTTCCATTCAGTTTTCAAAGGGCTGTATGTCCCCCCAAGACCTGAATGTCCCCCCAAGACCTGAAGCCCTACTTGTATCTCTGTTCTGTGGCTCCTGGCCTGGCTGCATCTCCTCCAGAGGGACAGCCTGGTGCCGACATGATGGGGGACTTGGGGCAAGTTGTGTCACCTCCCTGGCCTCAGCTTTCTCACCTCCAGATAGGAGATGGACCTGAAGATTGCCAACAATCCCGACTCTAATGCCAGGATGAGGTACTGCTTCTTACCTCGAGGTCCCGAAGGACGGGGTGGTCTTCAATTCCTGGGAACAGCACCCGCATGGTATAAGTTCTGTAATCGAGGAAGGGAATCCCAGCTCCATCCAGGTCACTGGTCAACTCGTGGATGTCTGTCTGTAGCTCAGCAAAAGCTGGCAGGAAGAGAAGCCTGTGAGACCGCTGGAGAGGGTGGGCCCAGGAGTTACCCCCATGTCCAAGTGTGCTGAACCCTCACCCCAGCCCTTAGGGATACACTTTATGGACCACAGATGTGTATGAATAACTGGGCAGGGGGTGTTTAAGTAGCTGGGACAGATGGCATTAGCATGAGAGAAAGACACAAGGCAAGGATCCTGTTTATGGGCCGAATCCCTTCCAAAGCATGTGGAAGGGTGTGCATGAAGCCGTCCACAGATCTATGCTCCTGCTGGGGGCCAGTAGGGACTCACCCAAAGATGAAGGGCTTTGGTTTGCAAAATGTGCTAGGGAGTTGGGAAGCGGGATGTAGGGGGATGAGTGAGAGAAGGGAGAGGTTCCAGTGATGAAGGATCCATTCCTGATGCTATGTTTTATAGATTTCCTAATAGGATTTCAGAAAAGTTTCTTCTGATGCAGGAAAAACATTTGAAGGCCCAGTACTGGACCATACAGCTCAGCGGAGTTATTGAACCTCAAACAGAGACTCCACCACACTAATATGTTCCCTCTGTCTAATACACAGGAGGTAGCTTGGCCCTTCCTCCCTCAGAGTGATGCTACTTGCTGGTGACTTATGGTCAGCATGTGGGCACTACTGTATGTGGAGGCCCCTCTGGCCTCCAGACAGACACGTAGGGTTATAAACCCCCAGCTGGGATAGTCCAGCACACAGTGAAGCCTGAAGTGTCACAGAGCTCCTGAGTGGTCATCACGGCCCACCCGGGGCACGCTCTCCTCTACGGCCACCCTCCATCACAAGAAGTACTCAGAGGCACGGCCCCCAGGCCTTCCTTGCTTTGCCCTTTTCCTTGGTACACTTTTCCATGCGTACACCGATGCACACACGCATAGATGTGTGCACACACGCGTGCATATGCACAACTGGGATAGATTAACACTTCAGCAAACAAGAAAAGCCAGTGGAGACTGACTAACCAATATTTCTATTTATATGAACTCAGAACAGGGGAAAATACTCTGTGGGGGAGCTCAAGTGGGATTCACAAGCCCAACATGGGTATAGAGCCCCCCTAAAAGCAAACAGAGTGGGATGTATGATGATGACATAAACCCAGCACAGCACCCCGGGAATGTGGACAGGAGCCCTGCTTGCCCTCCTGGTGCATTTGGCGGGGCTCCACCCTGCAGAGCCCTTTCACATCCCAGGATTTTGGCTTTTTGTGTCAGGAGGATACTAAGGCCACAAAGACAAAGTGGACCCCACTTGGACACCTGCAGAGGCTGCTGGTATCTTCTGTCACTCCTGTCTCTTGCACTCCACCCCTCTGCTCTGGTCACCCGGACACAGGAGCTCATCTCACACAGAATGGCCCTGATGGCAGATGACCCAACGGCATCCAAGTGGCACCCATACTTCCATGTGAGTGTGTGTGTGCAGAGGGGGGCTGGTAGGCTTCTTCAGCAGCACCAAAAGCTCCAGCAAACACCATGTATGTCCTGAGTGAGGGACATGTCCATGTGTGCTTGTAGGAGTCTGTGGGAACGTGTGCACAAGCATGTGCATGTGTGGGTGACTGCTTCTGAGTGTGAGTCTGCCAATGAGTGTGGGTATGTATGAAAGTGTGTGGGTGCATGAGTGTGTGTGTCAGTGTGCATGAGTGTGAGTACGTATGTGCACGTGTGTGTTAGCATATATGAGTGTGAGTACATAAGTGCATGAGTGTGACTATACAGGTGCATGCACGTGCATGTCAGTGTGTATGTGAGTATGTGTAAGTGTGTGAGCATGCCTGTGAGTGTGTAGGCATGTGTGGCGTGGGAACATGCATATATCAGAAGCTGAGGCCCATGAAAGGTCAGGCTGGGCACCTTGTGACTTCGAGAGCGGGTGATGTCCTGGCTGACCTCAAAGACTCCAAGAAGACACCTTTGCTGCACCTGGGCTCCCCTGCAGATGTCCAGCTGCCAGCTCTGGGCAGCCCAGGAAGGTACTGCAGGGCTGATTCCACTATCCTTTGCTGTTGAATGCCTGCTTCCCACCCTGCAGACAGCTCTCCCCAGGGGCCAGACCCCAGGCTCCCTCTTGGGGCTTCCCCCGACACTTGGGGGCTAGACGCCTGTCTAACTGCAGAGTCCTCCCTTTCTAGGGATGTTCACACTCCTCATGGCTGCCCCCTCCCAGGTAGGGTGCTCGGCCTGCAGGGAGGAGAGGGAGGAGGTTGGTTTTTATCGGTCTGTAGCTTTCCTTGAAGTCACCAAGCTCCTCCAACATTCAAAGCCTTGTGCCTGCCACACATAAAAGAGATTCTAATCACTACACCTAATTAGAGGAAAGAGTACATTGCAGAGAAAAAAATGAGCAGCGTAAATATAATAAAAGGCAGTAATTAACAGTCCCACAAGGCGGATGCTGTGTTGACAGCTGAAGGAAGTGGAGAGGGGAAGGAATGGATCCACTTCCCCATCAAAAGAGCGGTTGTTGTCCTGGTGGGCTGTGGTATGATGCCAGAGCCCCAGGTACAGGGCTGGTCTACTCCATGTATAAATCCATAGCAAAGAACCAGCTCACAAAATGATGTCCTGAGGGTTATAAGAATCTGACGCCTAAATTTCCTTCTTAAATTTAGTGCAGCTGATTTTACTTTATGGTGGTGTTTGTAATTTTTTTTTAAATACAAGCTGTGAAATACTCTTTCTTCTAAGTCACAGAGCAGCCTTACAGGAAGGGAGCTAGAGATTGCTGGGATGTGTCATGTCAAAACGCCCCCAGGCCTTCCCTAGAGTGGAGTGCAAAGCCGACTGGGCCAGCCAGGACTCTGAGTCCAGTGGCTGCTCCAGCGGGGTTTTAAATAATCCCAATCACACTGCCAGGGAGAGGGCAGAGTGGCCTCAGCTGCACCTGGTGTTGCCAGCATGGAGCCTGCTAGGGACAGGGTCTGGAACACGGGCTCAGGGCATCACAGGGAGGACACCCAGCCATCAGCACTGCTGACTTCTGCCTGGCCTACTTGCATATGAGATACACACACACACACACAGGGACACACACAGCCTTCAGCAGGGGCTGCGGCCACCTGGGCACTCAGTACCTTCCTTGCACTCCAGGGCTACACGGGACTCCAGGTTGTCCATCTGCATCTGCAGCCGCTTCAGTGTGAGGTCGCTTTCTCGGGACTTGCGTTTGTAGGCGATGAGCACAGCCACAATGAAGATGATGAGGAGGCCGCCAGCCACCGCGATGCTGACAATGGCGGGCAGGCTGAGCGGGCTGTCCGGGGCGATGTACACCATCCCGGGGGAGTACTCCATGCCGCCGACACGGGCCTGTGGGCACACCGGGCAGAGGGGCTGGGTGTGGGGACAGATCAGCCTGGGGAGTAGTCCAGCTCACCTAGGGTAGGATGGGGGAACCCTGCCAGGAAGGAGTCTTATCAATGCCAGCAGAACAGACAGCAGGGCGATGGGTGGTGGGGCACGTGAGGCCACCCCCAACTAAAAAACTGCACATCCCCCTACTCAGCACTGTTGTCATCCTAAGGAAGCAGCACACACTGGGACCTCAACACAATGTGCCGTGACACTGGTGACGGACTTCCTAAGATTCACCCCCACTGGAGGAGGGGACAAGTAAGCACAGAACAGGATATTGAGGACCTCCTGGGCTAGCAACAGTCTTTCTCCTGGAAGCTCTTTTGCATACAGTAGAGGGTCTAGCACAGGAGTGTCCAACCTGTGGCCTGTGGGCCGTAGCTGATTTTGTGAGGACTTTTTTCTGCTTATCTGTGGTATCAGATATCATGAAAAGTATGCACGGACCTTTGTTTTGCTAATCAGCTGTCTTTATTGTTTGTGTAGTTAATGCATGGCCCCAGACAACTCTAATTCTTCCAGTGTGTCACAGAGGGGAAAAAAAGGTTGGACATCCCGATCTAGCAGGTCTAGCACATCATTTTGTGCTGGTTTGCATTGCTTTATTGTTGCACCAGCCAGTATGGAAAGAATGCTAATACAGGAGAGAGAAGCTTGGGAGTGGGACAGGAGGAAGGAACTTGAGGGGTGAGGTTGCCACAAGGGAAGTTCATGGTGGGCTGAAACACTCAGGCCTGGCATGGAGCTGGCCCCACTCACAAATGCACCCATGGTACCCACTCCATCTGGGGCAGGGTCCTGCTGGCCTCACCATCACTTTGTGCCTGCCGATGAGGTTGGGGGACTCGCAGAGCAGCTGCACATCCGACACGGTCACGGTGCACGGCTTCTCCCCAACTAGCACAGTGTAGTTCAGCTTCACGTTGCCCCCGGCCACAGGCGGGATCAGGTTTTTGCCCTGGATGGACAGAAAGCCCCATTTCCCCACCCAGAGTCAGGACCACAGCTACTGGCTGACTTCCAGGTGCTCTCACCCAGAGGCCCTGTCCTGCTAGTGAGCTAGTGACAATTAAGTTCAAAATATCCTTGGTGTATATATCACCACCCCTCCTTCCTGCCTGCAGGAAATCAATAATCAAAGTACTCTTTCAATTTATCCCAAATGCAGCCTCAGAAACTTTCTCAACAGAGTTGGAGTCTGTCATTACTGGCTGATTCAAGTTGTCAGATGAGTTAAAATTAATTTGTGATCCATGCTCCAAGGAAACCCTATGCTGTGCTTAGCAAAAGCTTGCCTGGGAAGAAGCAGTATGAGCCTCTGACCTCAGTTTTTGGTCTCTCCAGACAAACAAAGCTTGGGAATCAAATAGCCAGGGTGGACCTGCCTGTCTGCCCACATGGACCCGGCCTGTAAAGCACATTTTCTTCCCAGCACAGGTGCAGAGAGAATATTTATCAGACTCTGGGTTTTGCTGTAACTTCTCCAAGAGATGCTGGTTGTGAAACACGGCAGGCACTTGTGACTTCTGGTCTCTGCTATGACTAGCAGCAGTGCCCTCCTTTCTTCCCACCTGCCAACCCCCACCCTTCCTCACCTTTAGGATGATGGGTGTGCCAGGCTTGAGCTCCAGGATTCCCGAGGGTCCAAAGGCCTCAAACACCGGGTTTGGGTAGTAGGTGAAGTTAGTCTTATTGAGGATCAGTAGGGACTGGACATTGTCCAGGATGAAGCCAAACTCCTCAGGCCTCTCGGTCAGGTCAGACTGGTGGTCGGGACCCAGAGCGAGGGCTGGAGCCTGGCAGGTCATCTCAGTAGCATTCAGAACCTCACAGATCTGCAGAGAAAGCCAGAGGGGGGCTCCATGCAGGGTGTCCTCCCTATGCCCACCGCCCCAGTGTACACGTGGGCTTCCTGGGATCCTTAGTATACCATGGTCAGTGTCAGAGGACTGTGGACTGTCACAGCTCCTCTGGAGCCAGACCCCACACTGGGGCACTCAGAAATAAGCTCCATGGAGGCATCCAGCTCCAGTTTTGCCCACAGTCAGTGTGGCAGGGACCAGTTGGATGGGACCAGAAGAATAAAACCTTGGAAACTCAGGGAATGAAACCTTAGAAACTCCTATAGTATCATTCCTCCATGCCTGCACCCAAGAAGTGAGAACACCCTCATGTCTAGCCCACCACCTCAGCATGCAGTTACAACAGGCTGTGGTCACCCGTGCATGGACAGAGCTGCCTGAGTCCTTGAGGCCCCCACCCTGGGGGGGAAGCAGCTTGTAGAGGGGCAGCAGGGTGCCCCCGGCCCCAGACTCACATTGATGTGCTCCTTCCCTCCATGCTTGGCCCGGATCTGAGGGTTCTGTATGAGGTCCAGGTGAGTCCCCCACACTGCGATGGGCGTGTTCCCACTAACCCGGGAGAAAGGAGGAGGCATGTAAATCACAAGCATAGGAAAAGCACTTGGTGATGACTGTGATCGAGCTGAGCCTTGACAGTGAGGACAGTGATAACCAGGCAGCATGGTAATGTTCACAGGGACTGGGATGACTGGCTGACTGAATAATAATAAGGGTGAGCGTCTCAGCAGCCACGGGGAAGACAGTGATGGCCAGATGTCCATGGCCATCCTTCACCGAGCACATTTGTGGCGTGGACCCCTCATGGAGGCCCTGGAAGCCCCCAGGTCCTTCTGACTTGAGCCAGCTTCTTCTCTGCAAACCCTGTGCCGGGTCCTCACCAGTCATGGCACTTTTCCCCCACTGGCCGTGGCCTAATGGGAGCGTTGCTCTAGATCGGACCCTGCAGGGGCTTGGCACAGCCTGCCCCCCACCCCAGGGCGACTGTAGTATACATTTCCACCCCGCAGTCTTCAGTCATGCTGAGATCTGGGAAAGGCAGAGGGCCCAGAAACTCAGGAACCTTTAGGAACACGGAAGCTCTGAGACTCCTGTTTCCTGCACCCTGGCTGGCATGGGACCACTGATGGGGAGGGTTCACGAGGTTTGTCTAGGAGGCAGTGTCCTCCTTCCATCCTTAGGCTGGCCAAGAACCAGGCAGGGAGGGATGGGCAGTGTGCCACTGGATCAAATTCTTGGGGGCTACTCAAAAAAAGTGAGGAACAACCTAATTCCCAGGCAAGGAGCATCTTCGAGAAGAACCCTGCTTTAGCAAGTTATTATGCCATGACACCCACATCCACGTTTGTCTCTACCCATCTATCTGCCTGCTCATCTTTATATTGCCAGTTACCTCCCTTCCTCTGTCCACACACACACACATGCACACACATACACACAGGAAAATTCCAGTGAAGCCCAGAGAGGTGCTTCCACCCAGGGCAGTGCTGGAGATGAGCTTATCCAGCCATGCAGCCATCTTTCCACCCTTCTCAGTCACCAATGTGACATGCATTTACCAAACGTCCACCCTCTCTGCTCGCTAGCAACCCAGGCCACTGGGCAGTGAGGCAAAATCATGGCTTGGGCAGAGTGCCATCTTAGCACCAGCTTGTTAACCAAAGTGAATCCCAGGGGTAAACTGGCAGCCCCAGAATGTGTCTGCAACCTCCCTGGTAATGGTGATGTGATCAAGGTGATGCAGGGACAGCAGCTGAGTACCTGGGAGGACAGCACCTCCATTTCTGCAGCAATGGCACAGGGAAAACCTGAATTGGACCAGGCTTAGAGTTCCTCAGAGAGCTGCAGAGTACACTGACTGAGGCACAGGGTTATGCCAGCAACCTAGGGTCAGCCAGGCAGAGCCCCCTGTCCCCCTGAGGCCTCCCCCATGTGCCTCATGTTCTGCATCTGCTTTAAGATCGAGGGTAAAGCTCACAAGGTTTGGGCCTGAGAGCAACTGCTGAGGACAAGTAAGTCTCAGCTCAGCAGGCAAAAGTTGCCCCTTCTTTGGATTCAAAGCAGGGCATTGCAAACTCTTTCTATAAAGAGCCAGGTAGTAAATATTTTAGGCTTTGTGGTCCATATGGTCCCTGTAGCAATTACTCCGCTCTGTGCTGTGGGAAGAAAGCAGCTATGGACAACACATATGTGAAGGAGCATGGCTGTGTGCCAATAAAACTTTATTATAAGAACAGGTGCCCAGCTAGATTTGGCCCACAGATTGGAGTTTGCTGACCCCTGGTTTAAAAGGCTGTTCCCTGGACTGGGTGCATCCCTGCCCCACCTTAGCGCATAGAGGCCACTTCTGTGTGCACTACCCACTTGCTTCCCTAGAAGCAGACAGTGGGGGTCTGCACCCAGGAGGGGTGGACAGTGCACTGTACCTTTGTGTCTTTCTAACTCCCTCAGTGCCTGTGAGGAGGTGGCAAGTGAGGGGCTCTGGGAGGTTAGATGAGGTTACCCGGCTGGTAAGCAGTGGAGGAGGGCTGAGATACCTCCTCTGAGCAGAAGACCTTGTTCTACCCCCATGCGGCCCCTGACAACGCTTTCCTAGTGATCTCACAAGCCTTGCAGAAAGGGGGCTCTGGAGCACCTTCTCATCCCCTGTGTCCTGCCACGTACCTGCAGCTCCTCTCCTGAAGTGAGACTAACCACCCCCAGAGACTGGAGACTCTGGGGTCCCCAAATCTCCAGGGGAGTCCCCAGAGTGGTGGAGGCCCAGGAAGAGCGTGCAACCTGTTAGAGGTGAATGGCTAGGAAGGATCAGCCCCCAAGGTCCCTGGGCCCTGTCCCAGGGTCTTTCTCTAACCACATCCAGTGCCTGGTCCCTTCCCTATGGAATGGATTCAGTGGCTCTGTGCTAGGTCCCTGGAAAGAGCAGGGGACAAGACACAAACTCTGCCCTTGAGGCTTTGCTGAGGTGGGAAAGATAACATAAACAGACATTTAGAGGTCCTGCTGAGGCAAGAACTAGCTATCAGGAGGTTCCAAGTACACAGGATAGGGGACCGGAATGTCCTGTTGGGGTTTGCAGAGCCAAGACATGGCTTCCTACCAGGGCAGGAAAGAAGTCAAGTCTGATCTGACTCTCTCTCCTCACCCCTCAGCCTGAAGAGTTATTGCCCACTTTTGCCAGGAGTGAGCAGAGTGGACTGGTCCCCCAGTTGTCACTAAGGGGAGGAGACAGGGCCCCCAGCACAGTGCCAGTCCCCGAACTGGGGAGGTGGGATCTTATTGGCCAGAGCTTGGCATCTAGGCCAGGTCCTGCATGAATGCTTCCAGAGGAGGGAAGGGAGTCGCAGTACAAAGGCTTGATTTGGGGGTGCTTGGAACCAACCCCAGTTCATCCGTCCCCCAAGCCGGGCCCCCAGAACTCTTCTCAGCTTTGAGAGTTGGGAGGGGAAAGTGAGGTGTGGAGACATTGAGGTCCACTCGGGCGGCTCCCACCTGACGATGCTCCACTCTGGCTCAATGCGCACGATGGTCGGGTCCTCCACGTACTGGAAGACCAGGTCCTGATGGATCTTGGCCCTGTCCACCTGCACCGTCACCTTCATCTCCAGCACCTCATCGGAGGATGTGGTGTTGCAGATAATGTATGATGGAGATCGCCTGGAGGGAGGGAAACAGAGCCGGCTGCCTCAGTGTTGAAGAGGACAGTGGCCCTGGGTCAGGTGTCCTCAGAAGCAGTGGGTGAGTGCTGCCCTAGATACAGAGCTTAAAGGCCAGTGACCAAGATGCTCCCCCTGACCAAACTTTGGATGGGCTCCTCTGAGCCCACTTTTCAACCTGGCCTTGTACTTGGGTCTTTGCTTAGCCCTGTTCTTGGCAAGAATCCTACCAAGGTCTGTTTGGCAAGAACACCCACTTCTGCATTTGATATGTGATCACTTCTGATAACTGATCAAATTCCTCATGTCTTGATGTCTGCTCACCCTGGCCTGCCTACAGCCAGAGTCCTCATCAGTTTAGCAAGGGCCCCCTGACCCCTGCCTGCCCTCCTCTTAGTGATTTCCCCCCACTCAGCTCATTGGCTGTAAATCCAATGGGCCTGATCTCTCTCCCCTATCGAGGTAATCTTGACATCAATTGCAACAGTTCTGAATAAAGTCTTCCTTACCATTTTAAGAAGTGTCAGAAAAATTGCTTCTTGAACACTGCATGGCCTGGCCTGGTCTGACTTGGAGTCTGTCCCAGCCCTCATAATAGCTCCTGCAGAAATCTTCTCTCTAGAGAATCCCAGGTCAGCAGAGGGTACGCCCTGGCCACATCTCCCTGAGCCCTCGCTGGATGTACTTCTGACTTCATCCCTCACTCTAGGCTGCTGGCTCATGGCAGGTGGCCTGCCTATCTTTGCACAGTGGGACCAGGGGAGGCACAGTCAACTGCCCACAGGGGGCTCAACCCTAATGGGTTGCTGCTCCCATCAGCTCTCAGCATGTCCTGCTGGCTCTGCAGCTCCTGGAGAGGACCTGGCCCTGGTAAACAGGATTTAGTTGTAGAGTCCAAACTATTCCAGCCACCCCAGGGCCCTGCAGAGTGGGTGCCATGGGCACTAAATGAAGAGGCTGAGCATGATGGGCCTGCCAGGTGGAGCAGCCGGACAGGCCTGCAGACTGAGCCAAAGTGCTCTCCCAAAGAGAACACCCCTTCCATAGGGAAAAGGAGGTGCTTCCAAGGAGTTAGCATGGGAAGTCCCTGCCTTTGGCAGCCCGGCCCCACTCTACAGGGCACCCATGCTGACCTGAGGTGATTCTCCTTTCTAACCCTGCTCCACCCAGGGCTGCTGGGAGAGGGTTACCTGTGGAAGAGGCAGGGCTGCTTCCCGAACATTACTACCACGTTGCTGCCAGCATTCAGGTTGGTGCCCGTGATGGTCACTTGGGTGCCCCCAGACATGGGCCCCCGGCTGGGCTTCAGGTCTGAGAGAGTCAGCGTCTGTGTAGAAAAGACCGGGCCTGAGACACCACCAGGAAGGGGTGGAGGAGGCTCTGGGTAGGCCTGAGGCTTTCCCCTATTCCCCCAGCTGCCTTCTGGAATATTTAGAGTCAGGGCAGTTTTGCTAGGATTGTGTTGTGAACTGAAATAAAATCCTAGAACCCTGCTATCTGAGTGGACCCCCTTTTGGCCAGGGACCCCTAGAAAAACCTGAGTTCCATGTCTCCCTATGCCTCCTCCCTTTTAGAGTTCAGATATAACAATTGACCAGCATTAATGTCAAACAGAAGCCGTCAGAGTGACAAAACAGACTGGGACAATAAGATGATAAATTATTAACAAGACCTAAGGCCATGGAGGCCAAAGGTTAAATCACCTCCAGGCATCAATTTGCTTAACAGATCACTTGGCTATTGAGGCCTTTTTCTGATTAACTTCTTATCCTCATTTAAACACTCCAATCCTTTAAACAAAGCTTTATTTCTTTAACCATTACAAATCAAAGGATCTCTGAACCCACCTACAAACTATAAGCCTCCACCCTTCCTTTTTGGGCCAATGTACACCTTCCATGTATTGATTTATGATTTTACCTGCAACCCCTGTGTCCCTAGCATGTATGAGACAAACTGTCATCTCACCACCTTGGGACCACTTGCTCAAGATCTGGTGGGCTTGGCTCCCTGGGCCATGATCACACATATTCAGCTCAGAATAAATCTCTTTAAATCTCTTTCTCTCTCTCTCTCTTTTTTTTTTTTTCTGTTTAACAGTGTAGCTAGGCAATGTTCTGGACCTTCAGAGTTTGCATATTAATAATAATAATAGCTACCATGTACTGATTTTTTAAGTGTTAGGCTGTTTTTCTTTTCTTTTTCTTTTTTGCAGTTTTTTTGGCTGGGGCTGGGTTTGAACCCTCCACCTCTGGCATATGGGGCCAGCGCCCTACTCCTTTGAACCACAGGTGCCACCCCTAGGCTGTTTTTCATCTGTAGCAATACATACATGCATATACAATTCAGTCACCAATCAGTTATACCAAGTAGGTATTATCACCTATTTTACAGACGAGATTCAGAGATACTAAGTTTTCCAAGATCACACAGATAAAAAAGGGCACAAGTGAGATCTGACTCTAGAGCTCCAGTTCTCAACTATTCTCCAGTCTACAGACTCTGTTCTTGGAAAGGTGACTTGTCCCTTTCACAGGACTCTTCAGAAAGCTGGCCACAGCATCCAGGGGCAAAGAAATGGGATGGGAGGGCCTCAGGGAAACTCAGGGAAAGAAGAAAAAAGGATTGGTAGCTGTCAAGGGCTGACTGTAGCCCTCGGCCAGAATGGGACGAATGAGGAGTGAGGGTTCATGGTGGGGGCAGGGCAGGGGAAAAAAGCCCTTGACAGCTGGGGATTTGGAGTTGCAGTTTGTTCTTTCATTAGCATTTTAATGGAAAAACTTTCCTCAGTCCCAGGTGAGAAGCCTGTATCTGCATTTAAATGAAGATTCTCTCTCTCTTCCCCAACCACCTCCCCCTGAAAGAATTCAGCCCCAGAAAGTCAACCTGCTGGAGTGGGCTGGCCAACTCCTCTCAGAGTTGCCGCCCCATGACACCTCCAGAGAAGAAGGGAGGCCTCAGTGGAGTCTGCCCACCTGCCTCCTGACCCATGCACTTTCTGGTCTGGGGACACACACGCTGACTGTGGCTCTAAGCCTGCCTTAACTAGCTCCCAGTGCCCTGTCTCTGGAGCCCAGATCTCGCATCCCTACAGCATGGGCTAAACCAAGAACCTGTGCCTGGCTCAAATGAAGACCAAGAAGAAGGTAGGATGGGCCTCCTTCTCAGATCTGCCTGGATCACCCTGTGGGATTCCAGTTAAGACATTTAACCTCCCTGGTCACAAGATCAAGGGTGTAGGCCAAAAAGTGGTTATCTCTAAGGTCTTTGAGAGTTTCCTTGTTCTGTAGTTTGTATGTCTCTAAATGGGTACTGCTGACCTCCCTAGAGAGGGAAGGGAAAGTGTGAAAGAGAAAGAAAGTGAGAGTCCTTGTGCGTGGGCTTCAAGTCAGAGATTGTGCTAGAGAGATACAGTGAAAATCAAGCATTATACAAGATACTGGGTACTGAAATAAATCTTAAGGTGCCCCCTGCAGCAGGTGACTGATAGATCCCCTTTTGGCCAAGGAGATTCCCTAAAACTGAGTTGCTGGCCTGAGAAAGATGATCATACATTCTTCATCATGTCCCCTGCCTTCTTAGAGATGTCTTTTGTGGCTCATTAACATAGACTAAGGCTATGCAAGACTTATCTGCAGGTTTGCAATATTCACAGCAAACAATTGGAATCCGGGCACTAGTCCTGTGGTTTGTCTCTGATTAAGACCTTTATCTTAACTCAGCATTCCTTTCTGTGACTCCTGGCCTAACAGACAGAGCCTAACTCTTTTAGCCAGCTGTCACCTAAAAAGACCTTTAAATCTACCTATAACCTATATGTACCACCCCAGCTTTGAGATGTCCCACCTTTTTGGGCCAATCCAATGTTTCTTTCATGTATTGACTTATGACTTTACTTGTAATTCCTGCCTTGCTGAAATGTATAAAACCAAACTGTAACTGTACCACCGTGACTCCACTTGCTCCAGGCTTCTTGGGGGTGGTAGGTTGGGTCTCAGGGGCTGTGGGCACCTGCAACTCAGGTCTGCATGTTCATGGCTCGGGGTCTTGGTCGTCTTATTTGGCTCCGGATAAATCTCTTTAAATTATTTCACAGAGTATGGCTTCTTTTCCTTCGACAATATCCATGGAACAAAACCATTTGTAACATCTTAATATTGTGAAATTTTTAAAAAAGAGAAAAAGTCAAGGTGGTGGTCCTGGCAGCCTGCCTTCAGGGGCCTTAGAAGGCAGAGAAGTGAGTAATCCGGCAGGCCCTGCAGTGCTGCTATCAAGGGGCCCGCTGGTGGGGAATGATTCCGGGGGTGGGGAGAGGATGTTATGGAGACATGTTTTAGAGTTGTGAGAAACTATTAATTATTCAAGTCATGCTTCATAAATATTTCACGGTGGGTTTGCACGGGAAATCAGATTCTGCATTGCTCGCCACCTCTTCACTTGGCTCCATGATGGAGGTAGAGGGAAGAGGGGATGATTCCCTGCATGGAGACCTCTGGGGACAGTGGTGACAGCTCAGAGTGCTGAGCCTGGGCATTTGGGTTTGGGGTGAATAAACCCATAGAGTCTGGCCTGATTGTGGAGGGAAACCCCTAACCTTGGCATTGTGGAGGGGCTACCCAGCTGTGCCAGGATGCTGGGGGGTTGGAGGCTTCCATGTGTGGGGCCCCAAGAGTACTGCCCCTGAGCAGCCCTGCTGAGTGGGAAGGGGGGTCACAAGGGCTGTGAGATGTGGGGGAGCATGGCAAAGGGGGATTTTGTCCCTGCCTGACTCCTGAGGAGACCCCTGGGGATGTCTGCTCCTTATTCCCACCCTGAACTCCTGGAGCTCTGTGGGGGGAGCCTCCCAGTATTCCTCCTACCTGGAAGACTTGCCACATGGGCGTGTGGCTCCTCACAGAAAAGGATTCAAGTCTGAGCCGCTGGAACCAAAGCCTAACTGCCTGTGGGACCTGTGTCACCTTCCCC